TCATGTATATTTCTACTTTTCAGACATCTTTATGATTTATCTTGTAGTTTCTCCCCAAAGAAAAATGTAGAAAGTATTTTTCTTTATAATGTATACCAAGCAGTATATTGAAGTATTATTTTGTAGTTATATATGTATTTCCTTTCCCATTTTAGCTGCCTATTTTGAATGATAAATAATGTGGTACTCAATTTAAACAGCAATTGTTTCCAGCTAAGACAAATTTTGTTTGTACTTCATAAATATCTTTTCCAGTCTTTTTTTGCTATAAAAAAAAGAAAAATCAATGGTTGGTTGCCATGATTACTAGCTACCAATTTCAAACCCAACAGAATTACTTTGACAAGGGGGTGAAAACAAGGTGTCTACTTTGAATCCTGTTCAGTTTGATGTACGAGTTTCCTTGTTTATGCAACATTGATGAATCTTCTGACAAGTTTCTAGAAGTGTTATCTCGAAGACAAAAAACAGGGATTTCATGTAGCCATTTACATTGGTGGTGTGATGAGATTTGACAGCTCTCTCTCTGGAGCGTGATCAATAGACGGCTAATCTCTTTCTGCATGGGAAAAAATTGGGGGCATGCATATATTATGTAGATTTTGATCACCGTTTGTTAATCAGGAAGTGAGGTGAAATGTGAGGTGAAAAGTCATATTCACTGGTTACAGTTACAGAGGTCAAAGTCCTACTGACTTGGTTACAAGGTATCTGTATCATAGGGGTCAACCTATCAGTTATGTTACCTCCAGTGAGGGAGAGCTCCCTGATTCATCATTTCCAAACAAGGGAGTTTTGAGGGTAAGTTTTGGTCAAAATGAGGGAGGTTTGACAGCTATGCTATATGGTCACTGCTGAGATATTTGTAATCTGACAATTTCTTCCAATAACTCTCATGCATTAGTATTCTGCACTTAAACTTCATTAATCAATCCACCCCAAAATGTTCTTGTCCTACTTTTGCTGGACATATTTTTCTTTTTATGCACTCACTATGACAACAGAAGGGAAGAGAAAGGGCATCGAAATGTTTCCAATGTCAATTTGCTACATGTACCTTCCTCCCAGATTTGATTTGGGTTAAAACCTTTACACCAGTGATCCCTACCACATATCTTTGTAAAGTGTTTATTTGCAGAACACTTCATACAATCAAATTCACCATTCAGAATCCTAGTGCAAAGGTCAAGGTCACTGAAAACAGCAGCCATCACTTTACTTTCCTAATTTCCGATCATATTTGGATGAAACTTCAAGGGAGTAATCAGCAATAACTTATCTGTAACATAATTGTGCTTTAGAAGCCAGAGCTCGAGGCGAAGTCATTGTTACTATAAATAGAAAATTGTTATCGCTGTTCTACCTCATTTTCATAAGATTTTGATAAATATGTCATTAGTATTCTGTTCTGTACTAAATACCTTGAATGAGTTCATCTGTGCAATAAAAGCTTATTATTATATTGCCACTATTACACCATAACATTTTTGCTATACTGCCAACCATTTGTTGAGTAAAACCTTGTTATACTGTCAACTTTTGTACAGTCAAACCTATCATACTGCCACATTTGTCAAATAAAATTTTGTTATACTGCCACCATTATGTACAGTAAAACCTTATTATAATGTCAGTATATATCAGTAAAACCTTGTTATACTGCCACTACTGTCCAGTAAAACCTTGTTATACTGCCACCATTATGTACAGTAAACCCTTGTTATAATGTCAGTATATATCAGTAAAACCTTGTTATACTGCCACCATTATGTACAGTAAAACCTTGTTATAATGGCAGTATATATCAATAAAATCTTGTTATACTGACACCTTTTGTCCAGCAAAACCTTGTTATAATGTCAGTATATGTCAGTAAAACTTTGTAATGCTGTCAACTTTTGTCATCCAAACTTTGGCATCATAAAGAGGTTATTCAATACTTCAAGGGATTTCTTTGCAGTAAGAAAGTTCACAAATGTAAGTAATGGCATTATATTGAACTTAACTGTATCCTTCAGGAACTATATCCATGCTTAACTTGATGCAGTAGGCTTATAGCTTCTTATGTAAGGAATACCTAAGGAACCAGCAGGGTTTTACTTTGGCTGCCGGAAGTGTTTACAAACAAATACTCATTGAAGGCGCATTTAGACGAACCCCATGAGAGTAAAATGAGACTAAAACGGGACAGCAATCCCACTTAATTGACAGTAATCAATTCAGCAGAGCCATCGCTTACATCACTACAGCAGACGGTCGCCCAAACAGTTCACAGAGGATCAAACTTGTATGTCATTGTTGATTACATTTTAAAGTAAAACCATTTCCGCTGTACAATGATACGTGTTTGTATATATATTATCACTGTTTGATAGGGAAAGGAAACTTTTCTTTTGAGATAACATTTTTTTTTTCTGAATGTGTAAACGTGATGTGATTAAGATTCTGAAAGAAAATAGTTTTTTTCTTGGAGTAGATAATTAAAATTTCAACAAATTGATACTTTCTGCACTACAAACAAGTTTGTGGGTAATGTGGGGTGTAAGGATTGTGGTACAGAAGGGAAACACACAGCCATAAGCTTTCTCTTGGGAGATTACGTTATTGATTCAGTTACTCCAGCTCATCAACAGGTGTAATGTAGATCCTTGTTTAACTCATTCACCCCTGAAGACACATTTGAACTCTTCCAATTCAAAGGTTAGAATAGTTTATTATGAAATTTCAGTGGTGAATGTGTTAAAGCATGCAGTAGACGTCTTCTCAGAAGCTCTACAAATATATAAATGAAAAGTCTTCTATCTGGACCTATAAACATGTCTAGCATCTTAGACTCGCAGCTAGCCATCTTAATGATATTTTCATAGAGAGGAGAGAAATAATTACCCAGCAAGGTTTTTACTGATGAACATAAACAGATCATTTACCCAAGTGAATATGTATAAATGTTGTTTTGGTTATATTCTGTATTATAAAAAGTTTTATTCTCTCAAATAGGTATGTGGATTCACAATTGTTGATTTATATTGTTTGTGAAAAATCGGGAAGAAAAATAATGCCAATGAAATGTTTATACTTAGAGAAAATCATTGTGTGCAAAACTCTGATTATGTTTAGAAACTCTTTTTAGGTCACCTGAGCTTTAGCTAAAGTGTCCATCGTCCGTCGTCCATTAACATTTTACATTTTCAACTTAAGCTGAAATTCTGGCAAAGGGTTTTCATAAATATTTCATGGGAAGGTTAATGACATCTCCCTGACCAAGTGTTGTTATTTTTTGGGTCGATCAAAAATCCAATATGACCGCCACGGCCGCCATTTTGAAAAACTATTTCAAACTTAAAGTCAAGTTCTGCTGGGCCGATTGAACTGAAAGTTGGTAGGAATGATCGACTCATGGTCCTGACAAAGTGTTGTTATTTTTTCGAGTCAATCAGAAATCCAATATGGCCGCCACGGCCGCCATTTTGAAAAACTATTTCAAATTTAAAGTCTAGTTCTCCTGGGCCGATTGAACTGAAAGTTAGTAGGAATGATCGACTCATGGTCCTGACAAAGTGTTGTTATTTTTCGAGTCGATCAGTATTTCCAATATGGCCACCACGGCCGCCATTTTGAAAAACTTTTTCAAACTTGAAGTCAAGTTCCACTTGGCCGATTGAACTGAAACTTTGTTGGAATGATCGACTCATGGTCCTGACAAAGTTTTGTTATTTTTCGGGTCGATCAGAAATACAATTTGGCTCCCATTGCCGCTATTTTGAAAATACCTATTTCAAACTTGAAAACAAGTTTTTAATAGGCCGATCTAACTGAAAATCGGTCTAGGAATGATTAGCTCATGGTCCTGACAAACTTAAGTTAACGTTATACTTCACAATTTTTTACCCAAATTGGTACATATTTCAACAACAAAAATAAATACTGTAGGTCTCAGGTGACCGTTAAGGCCCATGGGCCTCTTGTTAATTACACCTACCAATATATTTGTCATTGATATGCATTTAAAAACTTGTAACAACAAAATCAACTGCCTTGTTACTGTCAAGTGCAATTCACACAGAATAATAGTCTACAGAGAAAATAGAAAAAACAATGGCAGGCTTTCATGTATAGGGACACTTTACGACAACATTCTGGAGGAGAGGAAGTGTGGCTCTGTAGGTTTATTAGAGGAGCTGATGTGTTCAGACATGCTATATCCTCTACATGGCACGAGACAGTCTGCTTGGCGACATATTTGTATAAAACAAACTTACCCAAAATATACTTTGTATCTTTTTCTGGTAACAACATCTTATTTTCTTCTAACCATTGAAATGTTCACCTTTCCTATCAGTTCTTCTTTGGCAATCACATTCAGTTGATCTAATACATATTATAATTTTGGTCCGATTCTGTGTGGCACAGAATGTTTCCATGGAAACTGGGGGAGGCTTTGACTGCTGAAATAACACTCGGGGGGGGGGGGGGGGGGAATTAACCTGATGGAAAATAGATATTCTAACCTTAGTTTGACTAAATTACTTTGATATTCAGAACTGTGTGGCAGATATTAATTGTACATAGGATAACCGTCACCTTCTAGCTTCACGCTTCATGAGGCAATTTCCCTTTAGCTCAGATGCAAAGTGTCCTACTTTGAAGTCTGGGATCCCCGGTGAAAGCACACTATTCTCTTTCCTGTTACAACTGCCATAACCAGATCCACGACTGTAAATATCTAATATTTATACACAACATACCATATGTAGTTATTATGAGTGGAAGTCTTACCGGTTATTTGTCTTTGATTTCAGTACTTGATTAACGAGTGAAGAAATCGAATAGGGGATGAGAGTATCCTGTATTTTGTAATTTGTACGGAGAAGATCATTGAAAAAAAATGCAGAAATGAAAAATTAATATTTGTCCAGAATTTCTAGACCTTGTGTCATATGGTAAGGTTATAAGATTACTTTTAACACATAAACCTGACAAAATTTTATTTCTATTTTCAGGGGAAACCCTTAACAGCTTTATGTTGGGGCCACAATGACAAACGGCTATTTTTAGCTTCTGGTTTTAATCTCCACGTTGCTTGGGTTACGAAGCAGGTGGCGCCACTGCAGTTTCTATGTCAAAGGATCATTCAGGACAACATTACACAAGAAAAAAAAGTCAGCAAGCTACCTCTGCCCTCTAGACTGCGGCACAACATACAGGCCCTCTTCTCACCAACAATAAAGGTATTTACCACCTGTAATCATTGTCAGTATTGTTTTTTGTGTCGCCTGCAACATAAGGCGACATATAGGCATAACTTTGTTGGCATCAGTGCTGTTAGTTGAGACGTCTGAAACAAGGTTTCCGTGCGATAACTTGATTTCCATTGGATTGATTGAACTCAAACTTCATACAAATATTGCATACCAATATAGCTCAGACGCGTTCCCATTTCAGAAGTTTACATGAATTTTTGGTGGTGTAATGCCCCTTTTATTGCCGAATAAGGGCATTGTGTAGTAAATGCAAGAACTTTTTTTCTATTTTTAAATCAATTTCTTTCAAATTTTGTTATATATTACGGGATTTTCTGTAGAGTTTCAACCTTCCGAGTTTTGGCATATCACACTTGACACTCAAATGCTGTTGATTGTTTTTGCCATTTATTTTTGCTTGTTTACGTGATAACACCAGCCAAAACACTTTTCTCACTAAAAGCGCTGAGCAGGCGACATATCCAATCCTGTGGAATTCTTGTATAAAATTTTACTCTATATTGAAAAGAATTTGTTATTTTTGCATTCCTTTTCAGAATCCTTTTTGTCTATAAATTACTAAGCTATTACAAATGCAGCGGAATGGGACTGGGTTGACAACGTCGGTGACCAGGTAGCTCAATTGGTAGAGCTTCCATCTAAGAGTTTGGGGGGTCCCGGGTTTGAACCCCGGTCTGGCTGTGCATTTTTCCATCTCTTGTAACACAAATATTACTCATCTTGGAGTGTGCATAGCAGAATTAACATTTTTTTTAAAGCAGATTTGTATGTTTTAATCTATTTATAAATAAACTAATAATGATAAAGATAGGCAGTAAAACTTTTTCTTGCAATTTTATATTTCCTTCATGTAATCAAAGACTTTTAATTTCCCATGAATAGCTGTTGGTACATAAAGACTAGGAATGAATGTTGGTTTGATAGCGGGACATTAATTCCATATGTTATAGACTTTGCTCAAAGAATCCTCCTCTGTGTTTATGGAATGCTATTGATTTTCATTAAGGATCTCCGTACCACTGCCAAATCTCCTAACTATACATCTTAAACTTATTTTCTGGCATGATTTAGCTTTGATAAATCATTTCTGAAAAAATCCCTTGCGAGACTTTCATGAAAAAATGATACAGAAGAAATATTAAACCAAAATTTAATCTACAACAGTGTTTTGAATGTAAAAATTAAAGCAGTTTAGTCAGGGATTCGAACCCTGGAATGGTTTTTTAGGTCACCTGAGACAAAGTCTCAAGTGACCTATTGCGATCGCCTTTTGTCCGTCGTCGTCCGTCGTCCGTCGT